TTTAGGCACTCAGCTTCTCCTCGAGCCCCTGCGGGGATGCTTGGCAGGGCTGAAAAACCACCAGTCAGCTGCACTGAGGTTCGGGGATGCGCCACGTGGCTGAGAGCTGCCCTAACAGCGCAGGAATATTCACTTCTTCCCACAAGAATAGAGGAGGCAGAGGAAGGCCCCGGCTGTGCTGCCTCGGGTGCTCCTCTCGTCTGGCATTAGTCACCTGGAAAATACTGGTCCAAAGCTCGTCACCCTGGTCTCCCACGACAGGCGACAACCGGCATCTCCGGAAGGGGATTTTTTGCCTGCACCATTCGTAGGCGCCCGCCCCGGAGCAGGTGAATCAGCCACCGATGGGGCACGTGAGCGAGTGCCGGGTGACTCAGCCTTGGGCTTGAAAAAGCAGTGCGCAGAATTTAACCTAGTTCTCCCAAAAACTCTACGCAGAGATGGCTGCGATGGCACCAGCACAAAAAAAAACCCAAGTCTAACAGACACTGCTTCTTCCATATGTTCTTGACTTCTTTCCCTGCTACCTCCTCCTCATTCGAAAGCACAAGTGAGAGGCTCAATGTGAGCAGCATAAGTTAAGCTAAATGCTAGTTTGATGCTGGGCTTGACTCTTAATTCATCCCACCTTCGTTCGCCACCAGCCCCGTCATCTCCCTGAGTCTTAATGCTGTTAAGAGCCTTAAATGTTTTTGTGTGACTGTGTGTGTGCACACTTATTCCTTAAGGAAAAAAATTTAAGACTTCTGGCTATGCCTAAATCTTTTTTCTAATCCCCTTACTCAAGTCCAGGGTTGGATCAAATTGTCAAAAATGTTATTTTTGGTGGGCATTTGGTGTTTCAAATATGATTATGCAGCTGTAACTGGGACTAAAATAACCATAAGCCTATAGAAAGACATTTAATAATAGTTTAAAATTGCTGAGAACTTGATGAAAGGAGATGGAGAATTAAACTTGAAATGCAAAAAGGAGAGACTACACAAGACTTAAAAAAAAAAAAAAAGGCAAAAAGAGGAGGAGGGAGGAAGAAGGGAAAGGCTAGGCCATGGTTTCTCCAAAAAAGGAGAGAAGAACCAAGGTTTGGTCACAGCCAGAAACACGTAGCAAGGCAGATGTTAAAAGACAACCGACGGAAGCAGGAGACTCGTGTTTCTGCAAGCGCGCCCGGGCTCTGTCCTGGCGCTCGTAGCAGCGCCCGTGCTCGCAGCACCGGGGAGCAGCTCAGCATCAGCATCGGCATCGGCACGTGCCCGGCGCAGGTGCCAGGGCCTGGCAGCACCAGGGCTTGCCATGGGGCAAGGAGCCGGGGCCGCATGGGAAAGGGGCAGGACGGGGCAGAGCAAGGGAGTGGGCTGTTTTTGTTTATTTTTGGCGTGTGCAGCTGGGTTTGGTGGTATTTTTGGTGCCGAGGTGGGGGCGAGGGAGGGCACCCTGCGCTTGGGGTGTGCGGCACCCTCAGGAAGGCTAAGGGCGGCAACCAAAGCAAACTCGGGGCTAATCCTCTTCTGCACAGTCCCCCTTGGGCGAGGAAATCCCATGACTGCAGGCAGAGGCACATTGTGTAACGCAGCGATGCTGAACCCCGGCCGCATTCAGCAGTGCTTGGCACGGAGAGGAGGATACTCATCCGGCGGCTCTCCCACTGCATCGCCCGCTGACTCCGAGTCCTTAAAAGCCCCCGTGGCCTCAGGAGAGCTCCGGGAGAGCCAAAGCAAGTCCCCAAACCCCAAACGGATCAGCTCATCCAGCGTCGCTTCCCCTCCCTTGGTGCTAAGGCCCCGCATGGGTGCAGTGTTGAAATCCGTGAGTCTATGGATGTGAATGAAAAAAAAAAAAAAAATGTAAAGGCATTTTACACTTATAGCAAGACGTGCAAGACTGGGCTTTGGTCTCGTCTTGCTGTTCCAGTGTGACATCTAGTGGCACAGTGTATTTATACTAATGAAACAGAGATTTTTTTTCTTATTTTCTTTTTTTTTTTCCTTAGACATACTGTTTCAGTTGTCTCCTGATTATATTTTTCCCCACTGGTCTTCAGAAAGAGAGAGAGAGAGAGGGGGAGAGAGAGGATGTGCTGCTTGGATGGACAACCATGGGCTTATCCTCTTGGATTTTTCCAGATATTAGTAAATTGGGATTGGCTAAAGCTTTCATGGTGCTTAAAAGCGTATTCTATTTCCCAAACCATATTATCACTTCTCTAAATTTGCATATGTTGTGCCTGTATTTTAAAGCTTTATGCCACAGATGCTGAAGAGGGACAAATGGAGTCATGGGTGCAATGATAGGTCTTAAGGGGTTAAAAACTGTAACCCTTTGAAAAGACAGATTTTACTGAAAACGGAAAGTTAAAAAAACTTGAACTTATACTTGAATTTACAGTTGTTGCTAAAATATTTTGAGCCTTTTTTGCAAAACATTTTCTAAACCAAGCGGCTGTTCATGTATCTGGTTCCTCCCTTGTGTGTTTCTTGTAGGAGCTAGGCAAAATTTCTGCTCGGCTTGTTGGAGTCTGTTGCGTGTGATAAAGGGCTCGATCAAAGGCATGTGATCTTTAAAAAAAAAATGCCACTGAGTCACTGTGTAACCTTTGTCATGCTCTTTTGGACATTTTTTTTTTAAATGTCATCCCTGCTTGCACATGATCCTCCGGAGATGTGCGGGAGATCGCGCATCTCCGCAGGCCCATGGGAGTCACGATCTAGAGATGCGGGACGGTCTTGCTCCAGACCAGGTCAAATTAATGTGACTCTTCCTCTTTATGTTTTTAAGGCCAGTTTATGCGGGTAAACACCCGGGAGCAGCTCAGGTGGTAAAATGCTGCAGCCGCCGTCTTTGCACCAACGACTGCTGCAATGGTCACAGCAGGAACAGGGCAAGCGAAAGCAAAGCCACAAATGCGTGGTTAAAGGGCACCTCCCCAGTCATAAAGGTAAATAATGCGGAGAAAACAGAGACAACTACAAATCCCAGAGCAAATCTCTCAGAGGTGGCAGGCGCCGCTGCCAGAACAGAAACCCCCGGGGTGGGAAGGGGCTCCCGCGCTCCATGGCGGGCGTCGAGGTGGTGCCAGGTCTCTCGAGGCAACTGCGGCCACACGGTCCCTCAGCACGAGGGCCCCGCGCGAGGCGGCGCCGACCGTTCCGCGCCCGCGGAGGGCGACGCCGAGGGCCGGG